CACTGGCAAGCGTGCGCAGCTTGTTATTGTACCCATGATCCACTGATTGTGAGTGCAGGATACTGCAGGATACAGTGAAAAAAAATGCACATTTTTTTTCCTGCAAAAATATGTGCATTTATTATTTTTAATTTGTTCATGAAGGTGAACTTCACCTTTACTTTTAAACACACAGCAGTTTTTGTCCTCCCATGCCCCCACAACATAGTTTCATTACCTGTTGATTCTGCCAGTAGAGATATTATTCTTCCACTTCCTCTAAGTATTGTGACAACATTGTTCATTCTGCAATTAAATCAAGCAGCAGCGCTGTCACAAAGTGGACAGGGTTGCCTTGGATGTACATGTAGTTTTAAATAAGCAACAAACAGAGCATAACTCTAACATATTTTTAAGTAGTTCTATCAACTATTTTTTTCTTCTAGTTCAACTTATAAAAAATAAAACTTAGGCCCTTTTCACATGGGGCGGACTCCATTGATCAGAACAGCAGGAGGATGACACATTTGTGTCCACTCAGTTTATGCAGAGCGGACACGGACACAGCCTTCTCTGCTAAATTGCAGCTGGATGTAAATAAACTCTGTTTGTTTACACCCAACTTCCCTCTGATCCATCTAGATGGAGGAGGATGGATCCCTTCCATTTCTTTCTTGTTAGCGGACTAGATGGGATCAGAGGTAGGCAGGTGTAAACAGACACAGGTCCTGTTAGGATCCGCCAGGTGGTGCCTCAGGCTGCCCACTGGATAGACCTACCCAGAGCGTGGAGTCTAAGCCCGGTCTGTGCTTTCACCAGGGCCCCTGATGGTGGGGATGGACTTGTGACAGACCAGGGCCAGGTCACGACCTCCAAGCAGGCCCACCAGTGGCAGAGGGGAGCCTCCGGGGATGTATGCAGGTACCGGGGAGCCAGATGTGAAGAGGACGGCGGGACCTAGCAGGATGGTCACGAGCCGTGGTTCCGTGGGGTAAGAGAGGTACCGAATCGGAAGGCGAAGAGTAGTCAGGTCACATGCAGGGTCAGCAGGGTAAATCAGTCCGCAGAGTGGTCAGACAAGCCGGGGGTCAGGATAGGAGAAGGCAGAGTAGTCAGGAAAATCCGGGTCAGGGCACAGAAGAAGGCAGCGTAGTCAGGGCAATCCGGGTCAAATCTCAGGAGAAGGCAGCGTAGTCAGGGCAATCAGGGTCACACAACAGGTACAGGAACTCAGGATCACAGATAGACCTTGCGGCAATCTGTGACAGTGCAGGGCATCTTTAAATAGTGCGCCCTGCACTGTCATTGGCCGGCCAGGACGCGCCCCCGGCTGTCATTGGACGCCCGAGGCGCGCCTGCGGCTCCTACTGCGCATGCGCGGCGTCCTGTCAGCCGCGGCTCGCCGGGACCTAGTGCCTGTGTCCCAGCGTGATCTGCCGCCAGTGCGCATGCACGGGGAGAGAAGCCGCGATCCCTGACATTGCCCCCCCCCCCCATGGGCACCCTCCGGGAGCCCCACTGATCTCTCCACCGCGGGTGACTACGAAAGAATTCCCAGATGAGCCTGGGTGCGTGAATGTTCTGGGTGGGTTCCCATGAGTTCTCCTCAGGGCCATAACCCTTCCATTTTATCAGGAACTGTGTCTGGCCCCCCCTCTTTTGGCAACTGAGGATAGTCTCCACTTCATATTCTTCCTGTTCACCTATGGTGACCGCCTCGGGGGGGTCTGGATTCACGGTCCGGGAAGGGATCTGGTCTGGACGGTTTCAGGAGAGACACATGGAACACAGGGTGTATTTTGAAGGTTCGCGGAAGCTCGAGTTCATAGGCCACCTCGTTGACTACTCGTTTAACCGGAAACGGGCCAATGTACTTGGGTCCTAGCTTCCTCGAAGGACACAGCATGTTCAAGTTGGTCGTGGCCAGCCAAACCTGATCCCCCGGTTGAAGCAGTAACTCTCCTCTTCTTTTCCTGTCGAAACGCCTTTTTACTGTCTTCTTGGGCTTTTGCGATGGCCTCCTGAATCGTTTTGTTATTGACAGAAAAGAAGTTCAAGACATCTTGAGATGCAGGTACCGGATTTTCGGGCATCAGATCAGGTAGGAATGTGGGATGATAACCGTATTTGGAAAAGAACGGGGATAGTCCCGTAGCTGAGTGATTCGAGTTGCTGTAAGAAAATTCCGCGGAGGGCACAACAGCGTCAGCCAGTCATCCTGAAGGTAGGATGTGTAGCATCTTAGGTACTGTTCTAGCGTCTGGTTGGTCCTCTCTGTTTGGCTATTGGTCTGTCAGGGCTCCCAGGTATGACCAGAGATGTGTGACTGATGCAGGGAAACGCAGACTTCAGAAATGTGATAAACAATATAATTTATTAACACTAACCATACAAACATAAACGCAGGGCAATACTAATACAAAACATAATACAGTGCAAACAAACCAAACCAACCACCCACAGATAACAGTACATACAAGCAAGCGTCGTCAGGCAGGCCGGGTCAATATCAATTGGGCAGGTAGGTACGGGGGGAGCAAGCAGAGAATGGTCGGGGTCACAGGCCAGGTTCAGCAGGTAGCAAGCAGCGAGGTACAGAGGCTCAGACAGAGGGGTGGTCAGGGTCACAAGCCAGGATCAGAGCAGGAGAAGTCAGCAGCAGTTCAGATCAGGGTCAGCAAAGGAACAGAAACAGGATGCAGGACAGATACAGGGCCCAGGACAAACACAACACCAAGGCAGAGTCTGCAAGTCTGGCCATCCCTTAAATACCCCAGTATCATCAGTTCCAGGTGTTAGCTGGCTGAAAGGTTGAGTCTCTGATTGCTGGGAGCACCCGCTGGCCAGCCCTGGTACTGCAGATCAAAAGGCAGGTGAGTCCCACCATTGCTGGCCAGTCCATTCCTAACAGTACCCCCCCCCTCAAGGAGCGGCCTCAGGACGCTCCAAACAGTCCTAGCTGGGCAAAATGTTCCACCGCCCGGGTCTGGCAACTGGCGGGATAGCAAAGACTGGCACACCGGGCAGGACTCCGGGCAGCGGCACACCGGGCTGGACTCCGGGCAGCGGCACATCGAGCAGAGGCACATCGGGCAGAGGCACATCGGGCAGGACTCCGGGCAGAGGCACATCGGGCAGAGGCACATCGGGCAGGACTCCGGGCAGAGGCACACCGGGCAGAGGCACATCGGGCAGGACTCCAGGCAGAGGCACATCGGGCAGAGGCACATCGGGCAGGACTCCGGGCAGAGGCACATCGGGCAGGATTCCGGGCAGAGGCACATCGGGCAGGACTCCGGGCAGAGGCACATCGGATTACCAGGCGGAGCAGCAGGCACCGGGCCCCCGGGGGCGGGGCGACAGGCACCGGGCCCCCGGGCGGGGCGACAGGCACCGGGCCCCGGGCGGGGCAGCAGGCACCGGGGCCCCCGGGCGGGGCAGCAGGCACCGGGCCCCCGGGCGGAGCAGCAGGCACCGGGCCCCCAGGCGGGGCGACAGGCATCGTGCCCCCAGGCGGGGCGACAGGCATCGTGCCCCCAGGCGGGGCGGCGGGCGCCGGACCCCCAGGCGGAGCGACAGGTCTCGGGCCCTCAGGCGGAGCGGCGGGCGCCGGACCCCCAGGCGGAGCGACAGGTCTCGGGTCCTCAGGCGGAGCGGCGGGCGCCGGACCCCCAGGCGGAACGACAGGTCTCGGGCCCTCAGGCGGAGCGGCGGGCGTCGGACCCCCATGTGGAGCGACAGGTCTCGGGCCCTCAGGCGGAGCGGCGGGCGCCGGACCCCCAGGAGGAGCGACAGGTCTCGGGCCCTCAGGCGGAGCGGCGGGCGCCGGACCCCCAGGTGGAGCGACAGGTCTCGGGCCCTCAGGCGGAGCGGCGGGCGCCGGACCCCCAGGTGGAGCGACAGGTCTCGGGCCCTCAGGCGGAGCGGCGGGCGCCGGACCCCCAGGAGGAGCGACAGGTCTCGGGCCCTCAGGCGGAGCGGCGGGGCGCCGGACCCCCAGGTGGAGCGACAGGTCTCGGGCCCTCAGGCGGAGAGCGGCGCGGGCGCCGGACCCCCAGGCGGAGCGACAGGTCTCGGGCCCATAGGCGGAGCGGCGGGCGCCGGACCCCCAGGAGGAGCGACAGGTCTCGGGCCCTCAGGCGGAGCGGCGGGCGCCGGACCCCCAGATGGGAGCGACAGGTCTCGGGCCCTCAGGCGGAGCGGCGGGCGCCGGACCCCCAGGGTGGAGCGACAGGTCTCGGGCCCTCAGGCGGGAGCGGGCGGGCGCCGGACCCCCAGATGGAGCGACAGGTCTCGGGCCCTCAGGCGGAGCGGCGGGCGCCCGGACCCCCAGATGGAGCGACAGGTCTCGGGCCCTCAGGCGGAGCGACAGGTCTCAGGCCCCCAGGCGGGGCGGCGGGCGCCGGATCCCCAGGCGGAGCGGCGGGCGCTGGACCCCCAAGCAGAGCAACAGGTCTCGGGCCCCCAGGCGGAGCGGGGGCACCGAGTCACCAGGCACGACAGTGGGCTCCGAGTCAACTGGTATGGACCGCAGGCACTGGGTCAGACATTTGTATGGTCTGGCTGGACAGCGGGCATCGGGTCACCAGGCAATCAGGTCATTTGGCTCGACAGCGGGCAAACCGCGTCATCTGGCAAGGCAGTGGGCTCCGAGTCAACTGGTATGGGACCGCGGGCACTGGGTCAGACATTTGGATCGTCCTGACCGGACAGCGGGCATCGGGTCACCAGGCATCAGGTCATTTGGCTCGACCGTGGGCACCGCGTCATCTGGCAAGGCAGTGGGCTCCGAGTCAACTGGTATGACCGCAGGCACTGGGTCAGACATTGTATGGTCTGGCTGGACAGTGGCATCGTGGTCACCAGGCATCAGGTCATTTGGCTCGACAGCGGGCACCGCGTCATCTGGCAAGGCAGTGGGCTCCAAGTCAACTGGTATGACCGCGGGCACTGGGTCAGACATTGGATCGTTCTGACTGGACAGCGGGCATCGGGTCACCAGGTATCAGGTCATTTGGCTCGACCGTGGGCACCGCGTCATCTGGCAAGGCAGTGGGCTCCGAGTCAACTGGTATGACCGCAGGCACTGGGTCAGACATTGTATGGTCTGGCTGGACAGTGGGCATCGGGTCACCAGGGCATCAGGTCATTTGGCTCGACAGCGGGCACCGCGTCATCTGGCAAGGCAGTGGGCTCCAAGTCAACTGGTATGACCGCGGGCACTGGGTCAGACATTGGATCGTCTGACTGGACAGCGGGCACTGGGTCACCAGGCATCAGGTCATTTGGCTCGACAGCGGGCACCGCGTCATCCGGCAAGGCAGTGGGCTCCGAGTCAACTGGTACGACAGTGAGCACCGGGGCATCAGGTACCGGATTGTCTGGCTCGACAGCGGGCATATCGGGTCACCAGGTATGACAGCGGGCACTGGGTCACCAGGCATCAGGTCATTTGGCTTGTCAGCGGGCACCGCGTCATCTGGCAAGGCAGTGGGCACCGGGTCACCAGATATGACAGCGGGCTCTGAGTCAATTGGCACGACAGCGGGCACTGGATCAGGTACCGGATCATCTGGATCAACAGCGGGCATCGAGTCAACTGGCCTAATAGGATCGTCGGGCTGGATCAGTTCATCATGCTGAGTAGCGGCATCAGGCTGAATGCAGGCATCAGGCTGAGGAGAGGCTTCAGGCTGAGGGATGGGCTTCAGGCTGAGGAGAGGCATCCGGCTGAAGAGAGGCATCCGGCTGAAGAGAGGCATCAGGCCGAGTAGAGGCTTCAGGCCGAGTAGAGGCTTCAGGCCGAGTAGAGGCTTCAGGGCCGAGTAGAGGCTTCAGGCCGAGTAGAGGCTTCAGGCCGAGTAGAGGCTTCAGGCTGAGTAGAGGCTTCAGGCCCGAGTCACGGAAGGCAGGCTCACCGGTTTGGATACTGGCAGGATGGTATTGGTTGAAAGAATTTTCGCTTTTTTCTGGTTTTAACTACTGGAGCACTGCAAGTAAAAACGCAGGTCTGCAAACGAATGGAGCAGCTGGAGACAGAGAAAAACTGGAGGATGGAACAGGAGAGGGAGCAGTTGCTACAGAGGGCTCTTTTACAGGGTTTAAAGGCAGGATAGGTGCAGCGAGTGGGAACAGGGTACTGACATGCGGTAGATAGCAGGGCAGGAGGAGCTGGTGGGAATACAGGAGTAGAGTTTAGAAGCAGGACTGGGTCTTTGTAAGCTGACTGAGGCTGGGGTGCAACAAATCTGTCCATGTCCTGCAGTAAGGGGTTTGAACAAAGCTGAGCTTACACAAAAGTCTGTCTGGTCAATGACTGCACTGCGTTGATACAATCTCTTAGTGTCTGTGGTGAACATGTAGAGTAACGCTCCAAAAGGTAACCCACATCATCCTCTAATAACCACACCAGGGACTCTACCTGGTCTGCACTAAATGGTGGCAAAAATTCATCCCTGCATTCGGGGGGAACCAGATGAAACCAACTCTGCACAAACCTCAATCAATGGCTGCACCTCAGAGAACACTGTGCCCTGATCTACTAGAACATGAGCGAGCCGTATACATTCTAGCAATTCATCCCGGGTATACTCCTTTCAGAGTTTGATAAGCATACTCCCTGTCATCAAACACTAGCAGATATACAGTAAATACTCAACCTCATCAAGATCCATCCTTCCCATCAACAAGCCAAGATGGCTTCCCTGTGCAGCCACTTCTGGTCAGGATTGGCCTTGGTGTAATGTCAGGGCTCCCAGGTATGACCAGAGATGTGTGACTGATGCAGGGAAACGCAGACTTCAGAAATGTGATAAACAATATAATTTATTAACACTAACCATACAAACATAAACGCAGGGCAATACTAAACATAATACAGTGCAAACAAACCAAACCAACCACCCACAGATAACAGTACATACAAGCAAGCGTCGTCAGGCAGGCCGGGTCAATATCAATTGGGCAGGTAGGTACGGGGGGAGCAAGCAGAGAATGGTCAGGGTCACAGGCCAGGTTCAGCAGGTCGCAAGCAGCGATAGGTACAGAGGGTCAGACAGAGGGGTGGTCAGGGTCACAAGCCAGGATCAGAGCAGGAGAAGTCAGCAGCAGTTCAGATCAGGGTCAGCAAAGGAACAGAAACAGGATGCAGGACAGATACAGGGCCCAGGACAAAACACAACAACCAAGGCAGAGTCTGCAAGTCTGGCCATCCCTTAAATACCCCAGTATCATCAGTTCCAGGTGTTAGCTGGCTGAAAGGTTGAGTCTCTGATTGCTGGGAGCACCCGCTGGCCAGCCCTGGTACTGCAGATCAAAAGGCAGGTGAGTCCCACCATTGCTGGCCAGTCCATTCCTAACAGGTCTAAGGATGGTAAGTGGATGAAGTGACAGCTTGATTCCCAGCGCTTTACATAAGGCGTTCCAGAACCTGGATGTGAACTGGACTCCCCGATCTGACACTATATCTTCGGGAACCCCATGAAGCCTCACCACTTCCTTAATGAAGATCCGTGCCGTTTCCAGTGCCGATGGTGTCTTTTCCAGGGGTACGAAATGAGCCATCTTTGAGAAGAAGCGGTCGACGATCACCATTATTGCTGTGTAGCCTTGGGATGGTGGGAGTTCGACCACGAAATCCATGGCTATCATTTGCCAGGCCCGTTTGGGTATTGGCAATGGACGCAACAGTCCCCATGCCCTGCTCCTGGAAGGCTTGTTCCTTTGGCAGGTGGGACAGGTTTGGACGTAGCGCTCGCAGTCCTTGATCATGTCTGGCCACCAGAACGAGCGCTGAAGTAGTTCCAGTTTTTGTAACCCGAAGTGACCCGCCATTGGATGGTCGTGGCAGTGCCCCAGGACCAAGGTTCGAACTCCTTCTGGGACCATGATCTGATCTTCCTTCCAAAACAGCCCCTCGCGGTTCTGGAGAGGTGACCCAGACGGAACTGGCAGTCTAACGGAACCATCGATAAGTCTGAAGCGAAGTTCCGTTTGTAGAGCGAGGAAGCTTCCGGAAGGTAAGATGGTGTCAGGTAACACTGCATTGTCGGGGTTCCTCAAACATGCGGGACAGAGCGTCTGGTTTTGTATTCTTAGAACCGGGTCGATACGTTATATGGAATACAAATCGAGAAAAAGAAAAGAGCCCATCTCGCCTGGCGAGGTCTCAGTCGCTTTGCCGTTCTTAAATATTCGAGGGGTTATTTTTTGTGATCCGGTGGGAATATTAGGATTGGGTTGTGTGGCTCCTTCCGTTAAATACCTCTTACCTCCATTCTTCTTGAGCGGATTTAATAGCCAGGAAGC